GTAGATTTCTTATTGTGGAAAATTGCTTGTCTGTTCAGGTTTTAGTTAAATTCATCATGCAAATTCTCTGAAAAGAATGTATACCATTATAGGTTGGTAGAGTGAAGAGTACTGTGTAGACTTGATTAATAGATGAGTACCGTGTAGACTTGGTTGGTAAAGAGATCAGCACTGTGCAGGTTTGATAGATAGAAAAATGAGTACTGCTTAGACTTGGTTGATAGAAAGATGAGTTCTGTGTAGACTTGGTTGATAGAAAGATGAGTTCTGTGTAGACTTGGTTGATAGAGAGAATAGTACTGTGTAGACTTGGTTAATAGAGAGAAGAGTACTGTTTACACTTGGTTGATAGAAAGATGAGTACTGTGTAGACTTGGTTGATAGAGAGATGAGTATTGTGTAGACTTGGTTGATAGAAAGATGAGTTCTTTGCAGACTTGGTTGATAGAAATATGAGTTCTGTGTGGACTTGGTTGATAGAAAGATGAGTTCTGTGCAGACTTGGTTGATAGAAAGATGAGTTCTGTGCAGACTTGATTGGTAGATGAGTACTGTTTAAACATAGTTGGTAGAAAGATGAGTACTGTTGGCATGCACCACCTTTGGCTTAACTCGCCGACCATATTTTATTGGAAAGTCACGTCTGAGAGACAATCCACTATGTCATATGGAGAAGATAACTTAGGAGACTTCCCTTTGGTTTTCCTGGGATTATACAACCACACCTTGTCTCCTGGTACAAAGCTGACTTCTGTAGATCTCTTATCATAACACCTCTTCATGGAATCAGCAGACGTTTTCAAGTTTGAATGCACTTGATGGTGAATATCACCCATCCTTTCAGATAACACTTTCACAAACTCTGACACATTTTCAGGCAACTCTTTGTAAGGTGGGCGTCCTATTATCAGGTTTACTAGCAACCAGTGGCTTCATGCTCTGCTGTTCTATAGGCCATCAACAGTGGAGAGAGTAAGACATCCCAGTCATCTTGGTGGCTGTTGCAAAACTTTGCCAATTCTTGTACCGGTGTTCAATTGTACTTTTCTACCATCCCATTAGACTGTGGGTGAAGTGGCATCGTCCTGGTCTTTCATATGCCAAACAACTTGCAGCATTCATAGATCACAGCTGATTCAAAGTTATAACCTTGATCCGAATGCAGTTCGTATGGCATACCAAACCTATAGAAGAAATCACTAATAGCCGAAGCTCTAGTTGTAGCTTCCTGATTTGGTATTGCATATGCCTCAGGCCACTTGGTGAAATAATCCATCACCACACAAATGTACTTGTTTCCAGCACGAGTTTGGGGCAAAGGACCAGCAATATCAACAGCTACTCTTTCCATTGGTGCACCAACTTGATATAGTTTCATTAGAGCACGTCTCTTATGCTTGGGTCCCCTTTTAGTGCAACATGTACTGCAGGTCCTGCACCATTCTTCCACATCTTGCCTCATGCCTATCCAGTAAAATCTCTGCTGTAAGTGACTCAATGTCTTCTTAACTCCAAGATGTCCTCCTGTTAAACTATCATGCAATTGACGCAGCACAACTTTTCATAGCTTTCTCAGTATAACTGTTTGACAGGTCGTCACTTTCCCATCTGCAGTTTCTCATCTCCGGACAAGAATACCATCTTCAAGCTTCAACT